GGCATTTGATGGTCAGTTTTCTGGCATTTGTCATCTGTAACAAATGGCAGGTGGTGATATATTGCATGTTAATGCCTTGTATTTAGTTGCTGCAGTCTATGATCATTCTATATAGACCTTTCTCATAAACTCATGAAGCACACTTGAGGCAACAATTGAAAAATAGTATTGGTTTATTGCAAAATCAATCAATTATGCTTCATAAATATATCTTTTTATTTATTACGTATTTGATATGGTGAATATTGATTTGTCTGCATTCTTTATTGAACAATTGAGTTTCTATAATAATTGTTGTTCAAAATCATTGCAGCTGACTTGATTGGTAAGGATAATTGTTGATATGATTTGTGGGGGTTTGTTTGTGTTCTTGTATGTTGCACTTTGTGCTTTTTAATTTTGAATGTGACCTGTTGCACATAATTCTTTTACAGCTCTGTATTCTGCCATGGTCACATTTGCACAAAATACTCATCAGCTAGACTCTGGTCCTGAATATCATAGCAAATGTGACCACAGCATTATGTATAGTCTATAGATGTGATTGATATGACAGTATATAACATTGACCTCTATCATTATATTGGAATGTTCATTTACTTAACATAAGGCCTGAGATGGCCGTTTTATTGCTGCAATAAATGTAGTAAATGTCATCCATTACCTGTGGATGATCATACATCATTGTCAGCACTCAGCTCTTTATAATTCATGGTATTGTTGCATGTAGCTAAGCTACACATGCTTAATTGTGTCAAGATTGTAGAAAACATATGGGATTTGATCAGATAATTACTGGATATTAGAAACGAAATGGTAAGTGAATTGATATAAAGATGTTTCTTGAATGATTAAACATTTTATTTGTTTAATTTGATTTGTGTTTTGATTGCTTTCATTATAAGAAATTGATAACTTATTGATGGAATTTTAAAAATTGTTCGCTTTCTAATTTATATATCTTTTTCACTAGATTCTATGTGTCTATTTAATCTAATTCTTGTTCTGTAGTATTGTATAGAAAATTTACATATAAATACACATTTCTATAGATAAATTAATTCTATTTTGATGGATGTATGAAATGAAGTTGAGAGTTCAATGCGATTAGTATTTTCCTGTATCTTTATCATGAATCTGACTATGATGGTTGGTTTTGATGTCAACTGCCTATTGTTATAAATATGTCATTGCAAGTAAAGTAGTCCTTTTGTTTGATGCTTTTTAAGAAGTATCTATAAATACATATTATATTGTTCGATGAAGAAGTTTACAATTGAAAAAGTTCAAGATATTTACCTATCAAGTTTAAGTACATTAAAGTACATGTAAAATATGATTTATGAAGATAACATCTGGACAATTTAATGTGTTAACACATATGCTTTCAAGTTTAAAACACTTATAGGATTGTAAAATGTATTTAATATATAAATAAAAGATTGCACTAAAATTAATCAGAAAGCATGATGATGAAAACATAAAAACTACAAAAAATGAACTTAAAGAACATACTGATTGTTCAAAAATTATTCATAAGAATAAATGAATCAAATTATGATCAACATGTAACAATGGAGCATTAGCAACAACACATGCATATACTGTACAGTAAAACTTGTCTTAGTAAACACCTTTCTCTGGTGAACACCTGTATTTAGTGAACACTATTTCAAGACATAGTTTACATTCAACAACTTCTGTACAAAATCCCCTCTTTGTAGTGAACACCTACTTACAGTGAACGCTTTTTTGTTGCTCCATAGGTGTTCACTATATACCGGTTTTACTGTAATTTTGTATATGGTTTTGTTAATAAAGGATATGCAGAAAACCCAAGATGTAATTCATGTTATTCAAGAGCTTCGTAAAAAAGACCAATTTTTTTAAAAACAAGAAGTTGTTGTATCTGACATCATCAGGCCTGTCAACTTGGGAACACCTAACATGAGTGGGGGTAGGTACAAGAAATTTCGAAGCAAATGCGTGACATATACAGAATTCCCATTAAATTTCTGAACGAAATGCGTTCGTTTTTTGGCGTTTGTTTTTTATGTATCTTATCGGCGTTCATTTTTTTGAAGTTCTTCTACAGAAATATTTTTGCTTGACAATTATAAGGTAAAATGCATATTCTGTCATGCAAAAAAGCTGGCGTGACTTCAATTTCTTCTGAAAATGCATGACGGACTGCATCATATTCCATTTTTATAGTTTCATTGATTTAATCTCATGTTGACATTTCTCTATGAATTCTAAACCATTACCATGGGGTGTGGCGTATCATTTGCATCTTTAGATTAGGTTTTTACCACAAGGTCACATAGTATATTGATGTTTTTCAAGTTTGCATTAAAATTCTACCTGTTTATCATTATTACAGAATCACACCTTTCCCTTCAGCTATTGGTAATGGCTAAAACAAACAATAAAATATTATTTGGCAGCCGATATTAATTATGACATTTTTATTGTTATTTTGTGACATTCAAAACTCCTGTGTGTGCTATGTTTAAACAATTAAAAGAGTAGTAGGTTGGTTGATGAGGTGACTGGAATATAAAATTATGTTTTATTATGGGCTTTCACAAGGCAATAAATAGCATGGTCAAAATAAAAGATTTTATTGTAACTTTTGAAATTTTCATAAGTAAGCTGTCTACCTTGTCCAGAGTGAAAATATGACAATTTTCATTATATTCTATCTAAAGTCTGAAAGTAGGCATGTTATTTTGTCATTTTTTGGATCTACACTAAGATGATAAGAAATTAATGAAATATAGCCATGTGGTATCATGAATAAATACAATATCAATATTGTACAAAAGGGGTATAATCATTAATGGCATGAAATAACTTGAAATGCTTTTAATTAGATAAAGGAACTACTGTATATTTACAAGTTAAAATGTTGGCTATAACTATAAATGGTACATGATGTACATTTCAGTATATTATAAAGAAACATGATATGTAGAATTAAGTTTATATACTGCAACTTTACATTCTTAGAAGGGAATTCTATGATTTGGATTTTCCAATCTCATTCAAGCAATATAGCACGCCCTTCTGATTTGGGTGCAGTAAACCTTAACACTTATCTGACTCTGAAATTGTTTTGGAAATGGTCCAGAATGTCTGTTTGTCTGCCTTTCATCTTGGTTTACTTTAGTGATCTCCGACATGATGATGGATTTCAATTATGTTGACTGGCACAGACTTTCGCTAATATTTCGTGTTAGATCAATTTTAATAGATAAAATCAGTGTCATCCTATATTTGCTTGGTAAGTATAGCTTACAAAAATGTTCATTCAAAGCTAAGGTCAAGATTGTACTCAAATGTATTTTATGTCTTCTAAATCTATAGGATTATTGGGTTTTTGGATGCTAGAGTGTAGTAACCAGGTAACATTAAGGAAATTGTTTTTATGAAATTGTAAATCTCACTCATATAAAAAATATTGACTCCATGTTTTTGGTTAATGTTGCCTGTTAATGATTTTCACCATTTTTCTATGACCTGGAAGTTTTTATCAACAAAACTTGTAAACAGAATGCTGTAAACGTTCCTATCATTTATATCAGAGTTGGTGTCTTCTAACACACTACAAACCATGTTGATAGTATGCTAGTTGTCACATGTGAAAAAGGAGTTTGTAAAGTTGGTGCAGTTTGGTGCAGATAAGTTTACTACTCCAGTCTGGATACATGGCAAGTTTATCAGATACATGGATCTTCACATATAAACTTGACATTTTCAGATAAATGTTATGTTATGAGTTTTGTATTGGTATTTCTAGGTTTTATTTTGTATCTGTGTACTTTACTACACGGAGAATTTATAAAATTAACTACAGCTTACCTCATTCATTTACAATTTTTTGTATTATATGGTTTATGATTGAGCCTAAAGAATTCATTTTTCACTGTTGAAAAAAAGGCCTCGATTTTTAATAGGGGCAAAATCTTTTTCTCCAATTTTTTGGGTCCCTTTTACATTCCAGTTTCACCCATGTATTCACAAGTTGCCCTTAAGAACTCATGCATTAATCACCATCAAATTCATGCAATTAAACTATTTAATAATTTTGATGCATAACAATTTTGGAAGCTTAACAATAGAATTGTTGAGAATTTGGCAGGACAGTTGTATATTTAGTGAAATATGTGGCAATTAAATATTCCTTTGATATATTACAATACTTCTAATGAGCAAATGTACTATTAGATCATATATAACTCAAAATGTTATGAATTCCGCATATTCTATATCCCTACATAGTTGAGAGTCTTGAAGGACTTGTTCACATTCTGGCTGCAGCTTTGGGATTATAGAATCATTAGTGACTCTACCTTTACAAAATATCTCATGAAATATTATTAAGGTCTCTGAACATTTTTAAATCACTGAATTATCCAACTTTATGGTTCACTTTCGGAAAGTTTCCTTTTTTATGTATTCAAAATGAAATAGTTGTTAGGGAGATTTAGATCTTATCTTAAAGAGCTTTTTGAGCTAAATGTCAAGGGCTAGTAGGTTTCCCAGGCAACATATGATGATTATTATGCCATTGAAATATCTCTATGTCTCTGTTTTCTCTCATTATATACTCCACAAGTCCTGGATTAACATCAACACTGGGCCTGGGCTATTCTTTTTAAGAAATATAGGTGAACAACTCTCAATTTATATTTTGAAGAAAGCAGACAATCATTGATTATTAGAGACATTTTTTACCAATAAAGACTGATTAATTAAGGTCAATGTTTTTGTTAACAGTTGGTAATTAAGAAAGTATTTGTGTATTTTCAGGTGATCATGTGCTGCCATCTATCAAATGCCCCTTGAATCGAAAATGATGAAACAACAACCAAGTCATCACATTGACAATTCATTATAATGGAGCAACAGATTATTGTGGATCTAACAGTATGAATATTGGATCTGTTATTGATTGATCTGGGAATCTAGTAAGAGTTAGTTTGAATATTTTCAAGATGTCTGCTGCTGATGATTTTAAAGAGATAGATCAGTACATGCGCAAAGCTGAGGTTAGTATTTAAAAGTAGTTATTGTTAAACCATATAAAATATTTAATGAAAATAAATATATGTATTTTGAGACTGAGAGTATGCTAATTTTTCTTCAAATTGAAGTTTTAGATAATGGTTGATATTGTTGAAGTCTTGCAAAAAGTACCTGTTTGATACAGCAAAAAGTGCAATTCACATGTCATACCAAGATTCAGATTTATTTTACATTGTTTTATAGTTGTGCAATTATACTTCATAATATTATAGCTTGATTTGTTAAAACTGAATTCATCTGCCAGTATCTTATGAAATACAATGAGGCAATAGATTATACATCTCTAAAAAGGCCAATACATCTGAAGAATAAAAAGGACATGGATTAGGCTAATTTAGCAGAAATTCCTCTTGATATGATAGAACGATATTAGACATTACATGTATTTTGAACTAAAGAGGGGAAAATGCCATCTTCACAGATTCTATTCACATTGTATATTTTTGCCTCTGTTTTTACTTGAAATTTGTGGCTTGCTCTATGTATTGTGAAATATTAATTTACATAAGGACTCTGGCCATTTGGGGTTCTTTTCCATATACTTGTAGAGTTGGTTCAATTCTTGGTTTCATGAGTACATGTATTTTCAACACTAATGTTTCCAATGTTAGCTTTGATGTTTTCAAGATACATATGCACTTCATGATTGGGCAATATATGGCAGTTTTATTAGCAGAAAGGGAAAATATCAGCACAATATGTTTACCATTAACTTGCCTTTGACAGAGAGTGCCTTCAGTGACCAATCTAACATCACAAAAAGTCAGTTAAAAACCCATTAGCACAAACGTATCACATTTCAGATATGGCCTGGCAATTAGGTTAACAATATAGTTTAACATGAAAATTCCATCTTGATTATGAATGTAATGAATTATAGTTAGCCCACAGGGTCTAGACATACATAGGTTGAGGTGTTAGACTACTTCTAAACTTGACAAATAAGAATTTTAATTCTGTCCTAGGGCATATTTTGGACAATAGACTCCGACTAAGTGATTTTAGAGAATTTTTACTGTACATGTATTTGATTGGGTGGAATTCATTAATACTGTATTTACTTTAGTTTGAATATAACTACTACTTTAAGATTTAGTATTTTAGAATTTTGTTTTCATGATTTTTGTTTTTTGTATGAATCTTAAGGAAAGAAATACAATTAACTCAAAATCAGGAATGAGATGAAAAACAACATTTTCTGGATATGCCTCTCCAAAAGTTTCTCATCAAAGTTTTCTTTGAAAGTTCAAATTCAATTATGGCACCGTTCAATTTTAATTATCTATAAATAGAGCTATAAATCTTGTCCCAAGGGTGGTACTTTGTGCTACGCCCCATGGGTTGTTGAAGGTGTTTAAATTGATTACTGGTTTAATTTACCATGATTTACACAGAAGATAACAGAAGCAATTGTTTGGAGCAACTTGGCAGAAAATGAAATAATCTCCTGATAGTAGGGAACATGTGCATGATACTGGCAGTTACCTCAGCTCAGCTCAGCCCAGATTGACCTTGTTTTGAACTTTCATGCCAAAGTTCTGGTCGTGGTTTTGAAATCTAAAACATTTGAAATAAAAACAAAAACATGCTAAAACCACAGCATTCACGAAGTATGAAGAGTTATAAATGAAACATAAGTATGCCAATAAAAAATATTAAACCATATATTAAAGTATTAAACCAACAAAAGGATTTTCAGTTAATGTGAAAATTGATAAATTCGTAATCTTTTTTAAAAAGTCCAATGAAATAAGCCAATAACAATTTATTCCATGGAAAAGAGGACTTCTTCAAGTCAATACAGTTGATTTAATTGTTGAGAAATTCAAGAAAATCTGTCAGATTTACAAAAGAGTTCTGAATGATGGGGCATTATAAAAAAAGTAAAATGCATTAAGCATGTCAAATTATCTAATAATGTATTTCACATATGACCACCTCTGATGTGTTGGAACAGATTTTAAACAATTATAATTGCACAAAATAATGAATGGTCTTATTAAACAGCATGTTTCTTGAAATAGAGCTGATTCGCCATATATCCAACTGTGTTAAACTCATTTATAAGTATGTATTTATCACCATATTGAAATTCAACTTGTTGAATTAATATTGGTCAAAATACATAACATGTATAATATACATGTACATTACCATGTTGAAATGGACCATGGCCATACCATGGTATACCATGGTATGACCATGGTATACCATGGTATATGGCCATGAAATGCAATGAAATACCATATGGTAATACCATGGCCGATCATGAACGTTAAATGGCACCATTGCATTTCATTGTTAACAGTGCGTTTTTAACATGGAGTTTTCCATTGAAAAAATACTGCCGTTTCGCAGTATTTCATGGTCAGAAACCATCAAATGCAATGATATCATGGTCAAGTTCTCGGCTATGATATCATTGCATTTGATGGTTTCTTGACCATGATATCATTGCATTTGATGGTTTCTGACCATGAAATACTGTGAAACGGCAGTATTTTTTCAATGGCAAACTCCATGTTAAAAAAACGCTCCTGACCATGAAATGCAATGGTGCCATTTAACGATCATGATATACCATGGTATACCATGGTCAATTAACATGTAATTTTGTATCTAAAAAATACCACCGTTTCGTAGTATTTCATGGTCAAATACCATCAAATGCAGTGATATCATGGTCTAGACATTTAACCATGATATGCAATGGAGCCATTTAATTATCACAAAATAAAGCTCATAATAATATTGTTGGAACTATACTTAAAATTTTGCATTTAAAAATACTGCTATTTTGCAGTATTTCACTGTTGCAAACCATCAAATGCAATGAAGTACAGTCAAGATGTTTAATCGAAGACTGGAGGTTTGACTTACAAAATATTAAGTTGATCTTCTATTTAACCGACAACAGTCAAACAAAAATAAAGCATATTTGTTTAACAAAAAAAAAATTGTTTCTAGGGTTATTAACTTAATTATTCATAATAGAAATTAATTTATTAAATAAAGGAACAAAAGTATATAAAGTTGTGATTTTGATGAATATCAGAATCACTAATTATAATAATTTGGTTATCTAATCAACATTTATTAATAAAGATATTTCATGTAAAAAATACTTTTTGAACATGGCCTTTCATTGTATTTCACTGCATTGCAAGAAAGACCATTGCATTTCATTGCATATCATGATCAATCATTGTATTTCATTGCATTTCATGGTTAAACATGGTATTTCATTGCATTTCATGATCCATTTCAACTCTGACCAATTTTAGACTTGAGACTCTTGTAGAGTTCTTATTAGCAATGAAATACCATGGTATAACCATGGTATTTGATGGTCAGGTTTGACAATGAAATGCTATGAAATACAATCAACCACGAAATGCAATGATATGCCATGATAAATGATAGTTATAATTATGGCAATGAAATACCATGGTGTGACAATAGTATTTGATGGTCAGGTTTGACAATAAAATGCCATGAAATACCACCAACCATGAAATGCAATGATAAAACCATGATAAATGAGAGTTATGATTTTGGCAATGAAATGACATGGTATGACCATGGTAATTGATTGTCACACGGTACAATGAAATGCCATGAAATGTCATCAACCATGATATATAATGGTAATACCATGGTAAATGATGGTCAGGTACATAACAATAAAATCTCATGGTATGACCATGACATTTGATTGTCAAATTGTACAATGAAATACCATCAACCATGATATACAATGGTAATACCATGGTAAATGATGGTCAGGAACATGGCAATGAAATACCATGGTATGACCATGGTATTTGATTGTCACATCTTATAATGAAATGGCATCAACCATGATATACAATGGTAAATTATGGTCAGGAACATGGCATTGAAATACCATGGTATTTGATTGTCACATCTTACAATGAAATGCCATGAAATGCAATCAACCATGATATACCATGGTAATACCATGGTAAATGATGGTCAGGAACATGGCAATGAAATACCATGGTATTTGATGGCAAACTTTGGACATGAAATACCATGAAACATGGTATAACATAATATACCATGGTATACCATGGTCAAAAATTGACCAAAAAAACATCATTGCCACCATGGTCAGAGTTGATGGTAATTTCATTGCCGATCATGATAGACCATGGTAAACCATGGTATACCATGGTATCATGGTTTACGTTTAAACATGGTACGGAATATAAATTGCAACCAGTTATTCATTTTCCTGAAATCTTAAAGATGATTGGGAGCAGATATTTCTGTTATCTTACTCATAAGAAAATAGTCACTGAAAAAAGTTTTGCAGATGCTTTTCTGCATAAAAGAAGAATGCTAGTACATGTAAATCTGAAATAGTTTATATTCTAGTTGATAACCTCTTTTGTAACATAAACTTTGACTTCTGTATATGTATTTTGTATTTCTGTTCTTCGTCAAAATCTTTTGGCAAAATAGATTCATTTAGAGTGTAGAGTAAAGTGTAATTTGTTAATTAAGGCATTAATTTGCATTTAGCAATAGACAGTTAAGTAACAAAGGCTTTGCTCTGTTATGTAACTACAACCCAGACTATGATAAATAAGAATGTCTGGAACAACTGGATCCAACATTGATTATTGAAAAGCAATGCCCTTTTAATTAACTGCATGCAAGTGAAACTTTAAATGCAGTATTTGATTTAGGATAAACAATATAAGACTGTGTAACATAAACATGTTTTTATCAGAAATCCATAGACATTTTAATGTTTACTGAAAATGCTTAATTTGCTCTGAAAATGCTTAATTTGCTCTGAAAATGCTTAATTTGCTCTGAAAATGCTTAGTTGCTCTGAAAATGCTTAATTTGCTCTGAAAATGCTTAGTTGCTCTGAAAATGCTTAATTTGCTCTGAAAAATGCTTAGTTGCTCTGAAAATGCTGAATTTGCTCTAGAAATGCTGAATTTGCTCTGGAAATACTTAATTTGCTCTGAAATGCTCATGGGTGTTCAACTGCTCCAATCATTGCACTGAAAATGCTCAGGTTGCACCAAGAATATTTGGTGATTTTGTATAAACCAGGATGTGAAAGCAGCAAAGATGCAAGAAACACTGAACAGAAACACTTGAATCAGTGGTCAAACAACCACTTGTACGTTCAACAGTCTTGTTAAAGTATAATTGTGTTTAGGTTTAGGCATACAAACATATCATGTATCTAAACATAGCTTTGGACATATACATACACCACCCATGTCTTCTTAGTCCTTGGGCACCTGTAGGGGTCACGCATGTCTATCTGGAGCATCAGATGTATTCTTACAACTTTATGTTGCCTTTTGTGGCTTCTTAAGGGTGATCAATGTGTGAAAATAAATTCCGACTCAGTACACTTTTTAAAGGATAAAATCACGTCAGAATTGATTTTCATCTTGACCATATTTTTCACTTTCACTGAATACAAAGTAGAAGATCAATAATACAAATAAGGTTGAATAGAATCAATTAACACCAAATATTCAAATAATCTTGTTCCTTTCTACTTCAAGTTTTTGCCTCTAGTAGAAAAAGCTACTTCACACAGATAGGATTTTTCAATAATTGTTAAGAGGATTTTCTGGTCAATTCAATTGAATTTGTTCTTGCTTTCAGTTAACAGTATTAACCATCTGCCAAAATAACCTTGAACAACAAGATCAACAATTTTAGATTCATATTTTACTTGAAACCCTGTTTGAACAGTCACAGTTAATTCAGTATTTAATCTTTGCTAATGAAATCCAATATGGTTAGAATTTCAGAAAACCTATTTTTCATTGCATAATTTTTTGAGTCATTAAGGTATAACAGCATTTACCATCTGCTTAAAATAACCTTGAAATACAGTAATTAATATTTAAGACTTGTAATTTTAGTTGTTATCCATGCATTCTGTTCAGTAGCCTATCAAAAAATTTTCCGGCTAACAGATTACTTGTTTATTTTGCATTAATCTTGACCTTAATCTTTTTATTTGCAATCAGCTGTTTAATATTAATATTGCTACTGCAACATTAAATGGGAATTTTTTAATTTGCTTCCAGGAGGAGATTCACTTGACCTTTGCTGATTTGGATAACTCCCATAATGCACCAGTGCCAAGCAGACGGAGTATACAATATGCAAAGCATTGTGGGATAGAATTCAATTGTGTTCAAGAAAATGACCCACCTAATCAAAATGGAACATCTGTGTATTATGACATCATAAAGACCTTTGATGACCCCAATATCCGTCAAAATGCTGATCTGACTACGATAGAGTACACATTCAATCAGGCGAAATATATAAAAATGATGGAGATCAGAAATGCTGTTATGGATAGTGATATCAGTTTTAAGATGACATGTCTTGATAGTGCAATAGGTAATAACCAATCTTCTTCTGGCGACTTATTAGGTAACTCTCACTTTGAACAAAACCAGACAAGTGAACACATGACAAATATTGGGATTGATAACATCCATTACATGAAAAGTGGACAAAGTGGACATACTTATACACAGGAGTGTAGCAGTGATTTAGAAAGTGCAATAATAGAAGCACCTGTTATTAAACAGCAAGAATCATTGAATGTGGAACACCATGTTAAAAAAGTCAGCCCTGTTAACATAGGTAGTGATAGGGATAAACCACATGCAGGGGCAAGACTTGAGGAAGGAGACAAGAAGCCACCTGTTCTACAACAAGACCCTATAAATGAGGAGCATAGTGTGAAGATTGGTCCTGATACACCTGAACAGATTAAGAAACAACGTGAACAAAGACGAGGGATGGAGGTGGGAGTCCCTAGGAGACCATCTGTCGAAAGGGAAATCTCTTGTAAAAAGAACAATGATATTCATATTGAACCAGATAGTAAACTTCATGAGGTATACAAAGCAACTACTGCTTATAATGAACCTCTAACAGGTGCAGGAAATGATAAATGGAATGAGATGATTGTTAACAATTTACCTTATGAGACAAAAACCAAGGGACATGCATTTGATTCAAAGAGATCGCCTGCTCCACCTAAGAATCTACATGGAAATACTCGCAGTGTGACATCATCAGATGATGTCACTCCTTCACCCTGTTCTGAAGAGGTCTGGGGCTTCACTTGCCAGACTGTAGAGAATAAGGTAAGATGTCAAAGTTGATTTTCATGCTGCTGAATGATAAGATTTATAGACCAAAGGGTAAATGACAATATGTTCAACTCCATGACCATCCTTCAAGATAGGTCATCACGCTCCCAGCTCATTATTAATCTGTTAGGGTGGTTAAGGATCTTTAATGTATTTTCTTTGCAATTCCTATCAGGCTAGTGAAATTGATTAGAATTGATAGAATATGATTTTATCTTGTAGTGCTATTTCAATGTGCCATATGGTCTACAACAGGACATGGTCTATAACTATAGGTACCTCACCTGTCTGTTATATAACATGTCACAAAGTAACATATGTCTGTCTCATTGTGCTTGTGGATGATTCACCTTCGAGCTAATGTTACAAGTGGTTATCTAACAGGTTACAATATGCGTTACGTTATGATTGTTAATTGAATGGTTGAAGAAAAATATGGTAATCGCTGTAAAAAGTGCCCAACCACTATGAGTGAGTTCATCCTTTACTTCATGTTATGTGTTATGAAATGCCCAGTATGCAATCCATGATAAGAATTCTATAAGGGCACTTTTTACGGCGAATGTGGTAATTTATAGTCGAAGTTGAATGGTAGTATTCAACAAATTAGAGGTAGATCTGCATGATGAGAATTTTAGGTTTCGTTTTGGTGATTAATGATTCTCTGGTAATAATTATCAAAATTGTACATGTATGTTCATATCCCAGATAGCACAACTCTGATGGGCCAACGTTGGCCCAACAACTACGTATCTGTTGGCCCAACGTTGGCTGTCGTGGTTGGCCCACCGTCGCTATGTCCATCGGTCCAACGTTGGTCCACCGTCGCTATGTTCATTGGCCCAACGTTGGTCCATTGTTGGCCCAACACGATTTCAAGCTACGTTGGCCCATAGTTGGCCCACTAATAGTAAGAAGACTGGTTGGCCCGACGTTGGTCAACAGTTGGTCCGACAATGTTAAGAGGGATGTTGGCGCATTGGATGTCAAAACTGGTTGGCCCAACGTTGGTCAACAGTTGGGCCAACTTTGGCCCAACGATTACGTATATGTTGGTCCAACGTTGGCTGTCGTGGTTGGCCCACCGTCGCTATGTCCATCGGTCCAACGTTGGTCCACCGTCGCTATGTCCATTGGCCCAACGTTGGTCCATTGTTGGCCCGACACGATTTCAAGCTACGTTGGTCCATTGTTGGGCCAACCATATTTTCAACGGTGGGCCAACCACGTCAGCCAACGTTGGTCCAACATTGGCAGCCACCACAGAACCAACGTTGGCCCACTGTTGACGCAATTTACTTTTTTGTACAGCCATTGTTGGCTCCCTGGGCAGCCAACGACGGGCCACATGAATAATTTGCCAACTGCAACCTTGAGAACCAATGGTCACCGATAGCGACGTTGACCCAACGTCTTTGTGCTATCTAGGCATTCAGTACTGTTACTGTAAATGTGTTCACATATTATATCCGTTTTTCATCAATAAAATATGGTGGCTTGTTTTTCCATACTAAATATATTTGGTAGCCTTATAAGTGGTTTCAACTGTATTACAAGGCGAAAATCCATATTTTTGAGGTGAACAACATTATCAGATAATTTTGAAAGAAAATATTACAAAAATTTACCTTAATTTTTTTTAATGACAGCTGGTATGTTTTCTTCTATTTTTAAGCATTTGCAATGATTTATCGATAGGTGGCTTCCTGGTATTAGCGGCAGCCAACAACGGGCCAACGTTGGCCCAACTACAATTTGCCAACTGCAATTTTGCACTGATCGATAGGTCCCAGATAGCACATCGCCAATGGGCCAACGTTGGGCCAACAACTACGCATCTGTTGGCCCAACGTCGGCTTGAGCGGTTGACCCAACGTCATTTTGTCCAGCGGGCCAACGTTGGTCCAACAGTGGCAAAAAATTATATTGGCCCAACGTTGGTCCAATGTTGGCACAGATAGCACACCGCCAGTGGGCCAACTTCGGGCCAACAACTACGCATCTGTTGGCCCAACGTCGGCTTGAGCGGTTGACCCAACGTCATTTTGTCCAGCGGGCCAACGTTGGTCCAACAGTGGCAAACAATTATGTTGGCCCAACGTTGGTCCAATGTTGGCAAAAAATTATGTTGGCCCAACGTTGGTCCAATGTTGGCTCGACAGTGCTTTAGTGCTAATGGCAATGTTGGCCCAACGTTGGCCTTGCAGAGGGAACAGATAGGTGGGTGGCCCAACGTTGGCCCAACAGTACTTTAGTGCTACCCAGGTAGCACAACGACGTTGGGCCAACGTTTGTCCAACATTTGCAGCGTCTAAAGAACCAACGTTGGACCATTGTTGGCTCACTATTGACACAATTTACTTCGGTGGACCAACGTTGGGCCAATGGACATATCGACGGTGGGCCAACCATCTCAGCCAACGTTGAACCAACAGATATGTAATTGTTGGGCCAACGTTGGCCCAACGTTAGTGTACCACCCTAAAATTACTATAATTTGGGGCTAACAGAAGTGTGATTTTCCGACCTGAAAATAACGTCGGCCCAACGTTATAGTTCCGCCCTAAAATTGCTAACTATGGACCGAAATAGACACGCTGCTTGCCAACCTTGCACCGACATCGGTACAACGTCAGCGTACAGCCGTAAAATTGCTGACTTCAGGCCAACAGAAAAGTGTACCTTGACGACCTCGTACCAACGTCGGCCCAACGTCAAAGTACCGCCCTAAAATTGCTAACTTCAGACCGAAAAAGATGTGTCATTTGCCAACCTTGTACCGACGTCGGTACAACGTGAGCTTACAGCCGTAGAATTGCCGACTTCAGGCCAACGGAGAAGTGTGCCTTGACAACCTTGAACCAACGTCGGCCCAACGTCAAGGTACCGACGTAAAATTGCCGACGTTGGGCCAACAAAGACGTGCTATCTGGGATATTATATGTGATAGAATACATAAGTGTAGTTCAAAATTGAAATATTTTGTTCAAAATGTGTTGAAAAGACATTAATTCCACAATTTTTTTCAATTGTTTTCTGAAAGTACGGGGCAAACTTAATAAGATGTTTATATCTATGATAATTAATTATTTCACAAAGAAAATGAGATAACTTTATTAAATAACAGACTGATTTTAACATCTTTAAATAAGATTTTAAAAATCAAGAAAAGAAAAAAAATTAAGAAATGTTCACAAGGGATCAGGTGTTGAACATTTGAACATGGGCCCACCTAATATTTTATTTGCCTTTTTACCCCTGAGTGGAATATCTTTAGTTAAACTCAAACACTTTTTTACATAAACCTAAAATAGATTTTTTCTCCAATTTCTATCCTTGAGTACATCTTACTTCACAAATTGTTCCCATCAAATGATTGGTCCCATCTCATACATCCACTGTGTATTCCCAATTATATTTGCAATTTACCAAATGGTTTGTGTAAACTGTAATAAAACTTTATGTCTATGTGCTTACATTACTAACAATTTCAAAGTAATGAGTCAGGAATTGTATATGCCATAACTGACCATTGTTGTAACATTAAATTGGGTTGAAATAGATAAGTGCATATTTGAGGCAGGCACTACTGGTTGTAAAAGGGACCATCTCAGAATTTAAAATATCTTAATTAATATATTCAAGGAATTGATTCATAGAAAAGATCAATGAAACCAGAGAGTGGTTTTGAAAACCCTTTTGTTATATATTTGTTATAACCATAGATTGGTATTTGTGGGAATATGTACAAGACTGTAACACCCAGAGTATGGTAATAAGTTCACTGTAACATCTGTACTATTCAATATCCCATGTGTATTCCTTCAGTCATATATCAGTCAGGATTTGTCACTTTTTAAAAATTCCAGGGGGGTCACTTTTAACTTTGGTCTAAACATGGCCAAAATCACTTGAAAGTACTCAGAATGGTGAAAAACTGCATGATTTAGAAAGAATATTTGGCCAGGGGGAGGAGATGTAGGATTTTGAGTCTTATATCATTTCTGATTTACCAGAGTCCCTCTTTATCTAATGCTTTAGAGGAACATGTACTCTGAGGGATATAACAGGCTATGGATCCCACAATGGCACTATACTAGGTCTGCTCCATATAAGAGAGGTATTAAAGATTGGCCGGGATTATATAACTTTGTTGAGGAAACCTTAAGAACACACAAGGTGGGAGTATTACAAGCCAAGGTCAGTCCAGGGGAAATGGTAGTTTCACAGCTCTACTTCATTCTTGATCAGTATGCATTTCTAATTTGTGTTAAATAGAATTGTTCTATATATTTTTCTTCCATATTGCCACAACAATTCACAATAAATTGAACATTTCAAAGTGTGTTCCAAGAAATGTGTCAGTAACTTTATGCCTGGTGATGATTCTACTGGGAGCCAGGGTCTGTTGGAAGAAGCACACTTATATTTTTGTACAGGAGTCTTACTTGTGCATAAAATGTAAACATGTCCAATCTGTATCTAACATGGGAGAAGAGATTGAAAGGGATGAATTATGTAACAAATCAAACACATACAGATAATATTGGATATCATTAACCTTTGTTTGTTTATCTAAAATTCAATATCAGATAATCCATAATCCATGTACTGATATAAAAATCTGGAAAAATGTTGGTAAATATGGCCATTGATGAAATTAAGCATAGGATAAGCTTATGTTTATGTTTATCTTGTTCCCTAAGGCTGTTGATTTTACCTGTATAAGAGCATAACATATAATGTATAGAGCAAACAAAAAAATAAATCCTATTGTAGTTTTAAAGTCCTCAATCTTTTCATGTGCCAAGATACTCCAAAATCTCACAATAGGGTTTATATTTTGTTATTTTTTATTTATTTTGAGTCATTTTATGTTTAGTTTGATGATAAGTCAAGTGATGGCAATGATACCATCAGGTCCATGGTTTAAAATATATGTAGAGGATGGGGAGTGGGAGGAGTGCATATAGGTATGATTTGTCCAGCTGTGT